CTCTCCCTTCCTGGGTGACACGTCCATCCTGGGCCTCCTCCAGTTTCATAACAACGTCACCTGCAAACTGGAGGAGCAGCACCTCATATTGGGAGCTTACAACCTAATGGTCTCAATATGGACTTGACTAGCTTCAAAATCTCACCCCGCTCCAGTCTCGTCCCACGTCCAACCCTCCCTCTTATCCCTGCCTCCTTGACCTGACACAACCTGTCCATCTTGTCTCCCACCTATCCGCTCTTCCCGCCTCACTGACCGATCCCCACCACTCCCTACCTGCATTCACCTATCACCATCCCACCTACCCTCCCCACCCCACCTCTCTATTTATTTCAGAGCTCCCTGCCCCCGCCACCATTTCTGAAGAAGGGTCCTGACCGAAACGTCAGCTTTCCTGCTCCTCTGATGCTGCCTGGCCTGCTGTGTTCATCCAGCTCCACACTGTTATCTCCAACTCCAGCATCGGCAGTTCTTAGTATCTGGGACATAATACAAGTGAATGTGTGGCTAAAGAGCTGGTGCAGAAGGGAGGGGCCCAGATATCCAGATCATTGGGATCTCTTCAAGGGAAGATAGGAACTGTACAAGAAGGACGGGTTGCACTTAAACTGAAAGAACACCAATACTCTTGCTGGGAAGTTTGTTAATGCCACGTGCCAGGTTTAACAAGTGTGGTAATGGGGTAGAAACCACAGCAGTAGGTCAGCATAAGCGGAATGATCGAAGTAAAGAGAGGGGTAAATCAAGTAGCCAGCAGGAATGAGAGAAATGTATATGCAAAGGGATCATGGAAAGATGGAAAAAGAATAGTTTGTGGTAGCAGGTGATTTTAATTTCCCAAAATATTTAGTGAGATTCCCTTAGAGCTAGGTACTTAGATAGGGCAGAATTTGTTAGATACATCCACAAAGGATTCTTGAAACCATATGTGGATAGTTCAACTCAGGAAGGGCTGTATTAGTCTGTATTAGGTGATTGAAGTTTCAGTGGGGGGAGGATTTTGGGAAGAATGATCATAATTGCATTAGTTATGGAAAAGGATAAAACTGGCCTTGGGTGAAAATACTAAATTGGGAGAAAAAGGCTAATTACAAGAGTGATAGGTAGGAACTAGAAAAACTGGATTGGGGCAGGTATTTGAAGGTAAGTCCACATCTGAAACATGGGAGTCTTTTAAAGGTCAGTCAACCAACATTTATGACCAGCACGTTCCTGCGCCAATGAAAGATGAGGATGGCAAGATTTGAGAAGCATGGATGAGGAGAAACGTTGCAAGCTTAGTTAAAAAGAAAAAAAAAATAATATGTAGGTTTAGGAAACAGAAATCAAACAAGGCCCTTGAGGGGTAAAGGAAACAGGAAAGAACTTAAAAAAGAGAAGAAAGGGCCATGAAACATCCTTGGCAAGTACTAAGGCCTTGGATTCTACATATATTAGGAGCACAAGGAGAAAAAGCTCGGTCCACTCAAGTACAATGAGAGAATTTGTGTGGAGCCAGAGGAAGATGATGAGGCCTTTAATGAGTACTTTGCATCAGTATTCACCCAAGTGGAGGGCACAGATGATGTTAAGTTTGTTGACACTAAAACATGTCGATATTGATGTGGTGGTGCCAGGGAAGATGGTTGAAGCAGATATGAGAGCAAAGTTGAAGGCATTTGGACAGACTAATGAATATCCCAGAAGAGAGGGATATAGAACATGTACAGGCAAATTGGATTAATTTAGAACAGCATCATGGTTGGCATAGACATGGTAGATTGATTCCTGCTCTTGTACTGTAACGTTCTGGAATTTCATGTTTTACAGAAGAATATGCCAGTATTGGAGAGGATTGCTGTAACATTTCATTTTCTAGTTCAAAGTTGCTTAACATGTTATGCATTTTAGTAACATCTACTACTGATCAAGATTCTGTTTATGGATTTTAGTAACATGTTCAGCAGATTTAAGAATATGCCAAGATGTTGGCAAAGTTTGTTGGAATTGTTGATTTAAATAAGCAAACCATATCAAGTTATGCATTTTAGTAACAGATTAAGAACATTCCTGCATTTGAGGATATTGCTGGAACTTCTTTCTTGATGTCAGCTATTTATCTCACTGAGTTATGTACTATAGTCACACATACAGGTTAAGAGTATTTCAGCACTTAAGATTGTAAGAAAATCAAATATTCCTAGTAAAGTTGCATATCTCATCAAGTTGTACACTTGAGAATCACAAAATAGATTTTAAGAATGTGCCAGTATTTTTCAAAAGGTAGCAGGAACTTTTGATTCTGATATAAAGTTGCTTATTAGAGTGAGTTATGCATTTGTAACACATGTCAGACTAAGAATATAGCAGCATTTGAGGAGATTGTTGAAACCTCTGTCAGAATCAAAGTTTCTCTCACCAAGTTCTGCATTTTCCTCATCATACAGATTAAGTACATGGCAGCATTTGAGAGGATTGCTAAAAGTGTTCATGTTTTATACAAAGTTGCTTCTCAGTGAGTCGCATCCGGGTAACATTCACAAGTGCTATTAAGAATATGCAAGCATTGGAGTGGTTTGCTAGAAATTTTTTGGCTAACATGCTTATCTCCCCCTGTGATGATTTTATGATTGATTTTATTATCATGTATATTCGTGAGAAACAATAACAAGTGAATATAAAGCTTTTTCCACTGTTGCCATGACCCAGCACCATGTTGAATAGTTAAGAAAAATATAGCTTGAGAGTCCAAGAGTGCTGAGCCAGCTCAGTTACATCTGCAGTGCCATCTATGCAGAAACCAACTACATTGAAGTTAGTACTCTTCTGGTGCCACATTTCACTGCTGGTCTGATTCCTGATTCTGTTCTTCCAATAGCCAAGTCACCAATCTGCAGATGCCATCTTTCACCACTGGGCCAACCTCCCTGCTATCACCTCCCCTGTTCTGATACCAGGTCCTATGCTCACCTGCCGTTGCCATGAGGGGTTCCTCTGCCACTACTGCCATCCAAGCTCAAGACAGGCAAGTAAAAAAGGAAAAAGGACAGTAGATGAGCCCCAACTCAGGAGTCCTACTCTGCCACCATTTTGACTACAACATTAAAATCTGTTAGTGAGTGAGACTCCAGTATCTTGGTGAGGATTTCTGGAAACATTAAGATTACTTCTCATCCAGTTGTTCACTTCAACATCTTAACCTGCCAGCAATTTTGCACAGGTTAGCTGGATCTTTATTTTCTGGTTCAATGCTATTTAATTCAACCTTTCAGTAATGAAGATTCTGCAAGATGAGAGGATTGCTAGCAATGTTGATTGTGTCGTATAGGTTTGCTTATCTGTTATGCATTTTGGTAACTGACAGCTGATTTAAGAATACGCCAGCATTGTGGAGAGGATTGCTGAAAACACAAGCAAGTTGTGGGTGCCAAAACAAGGATTGATGGTACTTGTTGAATTAAGCACTTTGTACCATCAGATCACAAGTTATGAGTTTCTTATTTTGGTGCTGATCTTCAACTATGGTGGGCAGCACAGTGGCTCAGTGGTTAGCACTTCTGCCTCAGCACCAGGGACACTGGTTCAATTCCAACTTCAGGCAACTGTGCATGGAGTTTGCACATTCTCCATGTCTGTGTGGGTTTCCTCTGGGTGCTCCGGTCTCCTCCCACAGTCCAAAGATGTGCAGGGTAGGTGGATTGGCTCTGCTAAATTGCCTGTAGTGCCCAGGGATGTTTGGGTTATACATGGGAAATGCAGGGATAGGGGAATGGGTTTGGGTGGAATGCTCTCTGGAGGGGCAGTGTGGACTTGTTGGGCCAAATGGCCTGTTTCCACACTATAGGAATTCTATGATTCTCAAATGGTGGCAGAATGTGTTACAAGTTTTAATTAATTTCCTTGTGCAACACTGCTATCACAGCTACTTATGCATCTACCAAATGTTGCAGAATGTGAGAAGTGGAGGAATATTCAAAAAATGGATTTCCTTAAAGTTGATTTCTGACTTGAGGATTTTATTGACTTTACAACTGATGAATAATGACCTCATCTGCAGGAGCAGCACTGAGCTAGTGACTGCAAATAAGCCCATTGAACTATAGCATGGTGCAATGTGGCCTCTGACCTTATCCAGAACAGTTTGACATTGGCACCTCTACATCAAGAATACACTAGCATTGGGAGGGGTTTGTTAGAAGTTGATTTTCTTGTGCAAAGTTGCTTATCTCAGTTGAGCACAACTGTAAATTTTCCTAAAAACGTATGCCAGCATTCTGGAAAGGATTGCTAGAAGTATTGCAAACTTCTCACCAGGTTATGCATTTTGGTAACATGTAACCTTAAGAATTTGCTGGTAGTCTGGAGAAAATTGCTAGAAATGTTCGTTGTGTTGTACAGTTGCTTATCTCAGGAAAATGTCAGTGGTTCTAATAGCTCACCCATAACTAGTTCTATTTATTAGAAGTAATTAGACTGTCAAGCACAGAAATGTTGTGCCTTCTGTCAGCCTGGGTCTAAATAAGTAAATTAAGAGGAGGAGTTGTATACTTTTCCAAACTTTACTGCAACTCCAGGACAGGGCTTAAATTTTCAATCTTATCCCAAGGTGGCATGACATTATCTTTTACAGGTAGTGAGTTCAAGGCTATTCCCACTCAGGTCATGTTATTCCCCAGAAAACTGTTCAAGAACAAATTGAATACTCACTTTCAAGAAAGGAACCAGACAATGTTTAAATGACGTTTGGATAAGTTAATTAATAGGAAAGACAGGTGTATGAGCCAAGCTCAGGCAGGTTGGACAATTTTGGTTTGGGGAACATGGGCAGCAAGGACTGGTTGGACTGAAAGGTCAATTTCCATGCTGTATGCCTCTGACTAAATATCCAAAGGCTGAAAGATTTGCAAGACCATGGGGATAGTGGTAATGGATAGCCTTGCTTGGAAGGGTACAGATCTGCAGTCAGATTACTTTTAAAAAAAAACTGCCAAATGAACAGACCTAGGATGCAAGCCAGCTGCTGATCTTTAGCAAGCAGTTTTATTATTGCACATCACCCTAAACCAGCACATGAGAAAGTAAACCCAAATCATGTAAACTGTGCAGAACAGAGTGTCCAGGACAAATGTCACATGTACAAAGTCTTCCAAAGGGAAGGGGAAAAACTAAATCCAAGCGCTCCTAATCAAAAAGAAAATCCCAAAAGTCAGGGTCACAACATACATTTAGGGCAGTCCAGGTTTGTCCCACCTTGTGCCCACAATCGAGAGCTTCAAGTGCAGTTAGAAAACCTGCAGTAGAAAAAAGAAAAGTCAGCACTGACAAAGCAAATCCAATTCAGACAAGAATCAGCAGAACAGGGAAAAAACATTAAAATACTTTTCTTGCCTGAGCCATAATCTCTTGTCCTAAAGAGGTTCAGGGAGGGAAATTCTGAAGCTCAAGTCCCTGGTAGCTGGAGTTGTGGTTTAAAAAAAAAGTGCAGCAAAGGAAGCCAGGGGATGCACAAGAGACTAGTGTTGGCTAGGCTGGAAGAGGTTGCAAAGTAGGAGGGTGGTAGAAGAGGGAGTCAAGAGGCCATGGAGATGCAAATTAAAGAGACAGGCAGCACATTGGATGAACTGAAACTTATGGACGAGGAGTCAAGACGACTGGGTTTAGTGCAAAAGAAAACAAGTGAAGCCCAGCTGGAACAAAAAGCATGGATGATCTTTTCATCAGCTGTTGGATGCAGAAAGTAGGGAGAGAGATGGATGATATTGCAGAAATGGAGATCAGTATGCTTCAGTCAGATAGTGTAAAAATCAGCTTAGGGACCAAGGATCTGAAAGCACTAGTTCAATGGCTAGAGGGTGGGGGAAGGATGGAGTTTGGAGCAACTGCTGAAACCAGCAACTTCAGACTTCAATATTTCAATCAGAGGAAATTTCTGATCAATCTAGTGTTCAGCAGAAAGAGGATTTCACAGCTGGTCTGTAACAAGAAATAAAGTGGTTCCTCAGTGTTGATCCTATTGCAGCCTATCAAGCACTCCAAGACTTACCATTTTAAACCAGGCACCTTCAGTTCAGGCCTGGCTTTTCTCCTGATCTGCTTTAATACTGGGAGCTATGCCAAGCTGGTCTGGCACTGGTTCTTCTGTTCTCTGTAGATGAAAAGTAGTGAAATTAAACTCACCTGCAATATCTGACATTTGCAAAGTTGGGATGCACAAGGGATGTGCTGTTTGGTGGGAAAGCAAGGGTTTACATGCTTGCAAGCTGTGTCAAATTTAGAGACAAATAACACTAAGAGAAAGGACCATGCATCTCAAGTGGCTTCCATCTGTTTGTACCATAATGATTCTGCCGAAAAAGGAAAATTTCTAGTCTTCCAGTCAAAAGACAGAAGAAGAGAAATAACTATTTGAGGGATGTGATATGGGAGTTTATAAATTTGAGGCTGTCCAATTTCTGGATAGGAAGGAAAGGTCAAGGTCTATCCAAGGGGTGGGGGGGCATGCAGGGGGAGGAATTTAGACAAATAGGACACTGGTAAAGGTGCAAGATGTTCAAGTAATGGACTCCTGCATCAGTTGGATTAGACATTTTAAAATCCAATCTCCCAGCAGCCCTAAAGATTATCCTATCAGAAAAGCCAAAACTGAACAACAGGTTTTTCCCCCTCAAAGGCTCTCTGGGATGACCTGATTAAGGCTTGAAAATGAAGTGGTTTTGGGAGAGACCAGAAGAACTTGTCACCAATTTCAGACAGTACATAATAAATTTCATTCAGGATAAACCTCTTCCTGGAGTGGGGAGAATGTGGAACTCTCCCACAGGAGTGGTTGAGACAAGTGTCAAAACATTGAAGGGGAAGCAGGATAAACATAAGGAATAAGGGGACATGCTAAGGAGCATGTCAATTAGAACAAGGATGAAGCAGATGGGCCCCAATAGTTTCACTATACTGGACATTCCAAGTCCAGATTTGCCAGGAGATTCCTGTTTTCATATGTTTTTGCAGGTTAAAAAAAATAGAATGGTTTACTTAAGAAAAGTCAACTAACCTAAAGCCCAGATACAATCAGACAGGTCTTGGAGACTAAAGCTCCTTGAAGGAGGTCTGGAGAGAAAAATCAAAAACTGAACAGTTGAGAAAGTGTGAAGTTACCAGAATAAATAGTGAGCAGGGGAATATCTCCAGGAGTTTTTCTATTCAAGAAAGTAACAACTGGCAGGAGATGTGCACTGGAGACCCAGAGACTGGGTGAAAGGAAGGGGGAAAAAATGCATTCTGGGGGCTGGGGATGTGGAAGAGGGACAAGCAGGCACAATATACAACTTTACATGGCACTGTTCCTTGCCCACTTCAGAATTTATGGGCCAGAAGATTCAAGTATTGTATGAAGGTGAAGGACAGCAGCATTAGCAATGCATATGGATCAGCCTCTGGTATTAGGTTCAGAAATAACAGCACCATTGCATTGGGTCATAAGGATTTCATTAAGGCCAACTACAGCACTTGACCAGTTCTAGTCACCACACTTTAAGATGGGAGGTCTGACAGGGTGCAGGATGGATTCCCAGAATGATCCAGAAATGAGAGTCTGGTCAGAACAGACGAATTAAGCTGAAGAGCCTGTTTCTATGCAGTATGATTATGACTGAGTTTAGTGTCAAGCTGGGCTTATACTCCTTGGAGTCAAAAGAAATTGAGGGGCAGTGTTTAATTGACATGTATGTGATGACCAGATGTTTGCATAAGGCAGACAAAAGCTGTTCCCATTTATTGTACATGGACAAGGACAGATTTAAGCAAAGATATGAAGAGATGATGGAGGTAGGTCTTTACAGTGAATGATCTGGAACTCAGTGCTGAGGAGGGGTGGGGGGTGTGCTGGAAGCAGACCAAGAACACGTCAAAAAAGGAGACAGGACAATAATAAAAGTTTGCAGGAGCCAAGGAAAAGACCAGATGGATTGCTCTAGAAAGTATAGGCTGAATGACCTCCTGCTATGTGCAATGACTGTCACAGTCAATATTGAAGAAATACTTTAAAGCTAAGACAATTCCAACCCCAAAAAGATGCTTACATCGAGCAGTTGGGTTACTGCAGACTCCTGGGTCATGACATTTTGTGGTTCTGTGGTCACTACTATGGAGGCAGTCTCTGTTGAAATGGGAAGTTCTTTGGTCACTGGTATTTCTGGAACAGCCAGGACTGGATCTTGGACTGGAACAGGTGCAGGTACAGGAACAGGAACAGGAACAGGTACAGTCTCTGAAGCTCCTTCAATTAAGGTCACCGAGACAGAACTGTCAGTGGGATTATCCTTCTGTTCCTTATGGAGAGGAAGATTGCAAAACAGAGGTTAAGTCTCAAATCCTAGAAGTTGGAGCCTGGCCTGGAAAATTGTTTAGTAAAAAAAGTACCTAAATATGGTTAGAACCAGAATCACTGAGATGGAATCACCCTTAAGGCCGTGCCAAAATGAGACACCAAGGCAGGGAAGCATAGTTCCATTTATAAAATCTACACTCGCCATCTGAACATGCTCAAGCATGTGGCTAAGGGGCTAGACAAAAAGGGACTCAATTTTGTTGGTCAGTCTGCTGTATATAGGAGAATCCCACAAACAGCTAACATTTAACTGCTTGTTTGCATGTGATGTACACATGAACCCCACCTGCCACCCTGCCCTCAAATCAGTTGAGAAAAAAATACAAGATTACAGCTGATACAAACAGGCCGTTTGGAAAAACTGGGTCTGTGTCAATGCTTCTGCTGCACACAATCCTCAACCCCTCATCTCACCCAATGTACTGGGTCTCTTAAAACTCCTTGAATACTGGTGCTCCTTGACCTATGTGGAAGCAAGTCTCACATTTCTCCCCAAAGTGGGGAGAATGGCTAATTTCCAATTGGGATTTAATCAGAAATGGTCTTCGAGTCCGTCAGTCTTGTCATGCAGTATGACAGTGAGCCACCACATCTATGCTGACCGAACACTACCTACACTTGGTCCATATCCTATGCCCTGATGTTTGAAGTGCTCTGGCAACACTTGAAGCATTTGGATGAGTAACTGCCTCCTCCACCCTCCAAGTAGAATGCTCCATACATCTGCTGCCCTCTGGATGATAGACAGCTGAGGAAAGTCTAACACTTCCTCCTCACCTTGAGGTTGCACCCCTTGGTCTTATACCCCATAGACATCTTCCACAGGGGGAAAGAAATATTCTGCCATACAGTCTATGCCTCAGTTTTGTTTACATGAAATCAGATCCCCTCAGTCTCCACTATTCAAAAGGAAAACAAACCCAGCCTATCCAGTCTCAATTTTTCATCCCAGGCAACATCCTGAAACTCCTCTGCACCCTCTCCAGAGCAACATGCTGGCCCTGAATGGTTAATATACAGCTTCTAGAAGACTCCACTTTCCAAGTAGTCAGCTTGCCTGCAAATAGATATTCCCAGTCTATGCTTGCCAAATCCTGTCGAATGGGGTTTTTACCCATGATTTAGGAAACTTCTACACTCATCCCTTTCCTCAAGGGCTTTGAAACTTGTAGTGACTATCCCCAAAATGCTCACCCACTAGTACCTCAACTTGACTGGTTTCATTCCCTCGGATAAGGTGCACTGATCTCCAGTAGCACTGTCTAAATACTGGCACAAGATCTCCTGGATCCACTAAAACTTCCACCCCATCTGTTCTTTTCACACTGAAGTGATCCCAGTTAATGTTAGCAAAGTTGAAATCCTGTACAACCACGGCCCCATTTCTCCCTGTATACCTGCTCCTCTGCCTCTGGTTGTTGGGTGGCCTTCAATATAAGCACAACAAAGTAATTGCTTTTATTTCCAAGCTATACCCAGATGGCCTCATTTGAAGATCCTTCTAGGACAGCACTGTAGTGATAGTTTCCTTTTATCAATAATGCAATGCTCCCAACTTTTACACACCAACCCAGCAACTGTGCCCAAAACTTCAGTGCCCTGGAATGTTGAAGTGCAAATCCTGTTGTTCCTCCAATCATTGTTGCCATCAGACATGATATTTTCATATCTGATGAATGCTCAGTTCAACCAAACTTACCAGTCAGGCTCCTTGCCTTCAAGAAAGCAGCTCACCACCACCTTCAAGGGTAACTAGGGACAGGCAATAAATGCTGCCAGGCTAAGGATGCCCACATCCCACAAGTGAGTTACAAAACAAAAATTTAGCTTTCTCGACCTCCCATTTTTACACTGACTGAACTGTCCTCCAATTCCTTCTGATTGGACACTTCATTTTCTGTGTCCCCTCCCTCCAGAAGAGTTAAAACCATCCACAAAAAAAAGCACAAACATACTTCCAGCAAGGATATTGGACCCATTCTGACTCATGAATCAGGATGGCAAAAGGACAACAGTTTTGGCACATAGGGTTAAGGAGAATCAAAAAGCGATTCCACAATTACATTACGGACAAGAGTAACTAAGGACAGAATAAGGCCCCTTAAAGATCATCAAGACTGTTGGGGAACTGCAGGATGGGGAAGATAGTAAATGAGCATTTTGCTTTAGTATTTACTGTGGAGAAGGATATGGAAGCTAGGGAACTTGGGGAAATAGTGATATCTCAAGGTATTCAGAGGTGGTGCTGGACATCCTAAAATACATGAAAGGTCAAAAAGTCTCCAGGACCTGATCAGGTGTTTCTCAGAACTTTGGGAAACTAAGGACATGATTGCTGGGCCCCTTGCTGAGCTATTTCTACCATTGAAAGCCACAAGTGAGGTGCCAGAAGTCTTAGTTAATGTGGTGCCATTGTTTAAGAAAAGGAGATAAAGAAAAGTCAGGGAACTATAGGCCAGTGAGAGCCTGATGTCAATAGTGGGGATTCTGAGATAGGACTTGCATGTATTTAAGGCAAGGACCAATTAGGAATAGTCAACATGGCTTTGTATTTGGAAATCATGTCTCACTAACTTGATTGAGTTTCCTGAAGTGACAAAGATTGAAGGCAACATGGTGGACATTGTAAATATGGACTTCAAGGTGTTTGACAAGGTTCTGCATGGTAGACTGGTTAGATCACACAAGGAATCCAGGAAGCGCTACCCATTTGGGTACAAAATTGGCTTAAAAGTAAGAGACAGAGGGAAGTAGTGGAAGGCTGTCTTGCAGACTGGAGTGCTGGGTCCATTGCCTTTTGTCGTTTAAAAATAAAAGTTGGAAGAGAGAGTGTAGTAGGTATTGTCAGCAAGTTTGCAGATGACACCAAAATCAGTGGTATAGTGGACAGGCAAAGGTGGTTACCTCAGTACAACAGAATCTTGATCTGAAGGGATGAGGAGTATCAGAGTTTAAATGTGAGGTGCTACATTTTGGTAGGGCAAGTCAGGACAGGACTTATACACTTTGTGGTAGGGTCTTGGGGAGTGTTGCCAAACAGACCTTGGAATGCAGCTCAGTTCCTTGAAAATGAAGTTACAGGTAGATAGGATAGTGAAGGCAGCATTTGGTATGCTTGCCTTTATTGATCAGTATATTGCATATAGGAGTTGGGAGGTCATGTGGCTATACAGCATATTGGTTAGGCCACATTTGGAATACTGTGTTCAGTTCTGGTCTCCCTGCTGTACAGAGATGTTGTGAAATTTAAATCTAAATCTTTAAGGATGTTGCCAGCATTGGAGGGTTTGAGCTATTGAGCTATAGGAAGAGGCTGGATAAGCTGGGACTATTTTCTCTGGAGCAGAGGGAAGACCTTACAGCAGTTTATAAAATCATGAGGGGCATAGATAGGGCAAGTGGCCAAGGTCTTCTCCCCCCCCACACACAAGGGTAGGTTTAGAGGCAGCAAAAGATTAAAGGGACATAAGAGGCAACCTTTTCTACACTGAGGGTAGTGTGCATGGAATGAGCTGCCAGAGGAAGTGGTGGAGGCTGGTACAATTACAATAGTTAAAAGGCATCTGGATGGGTACATGAATGGGAAGGGTTTACAGGGCCAAATGGGACTAGATTTATTTAGAATATCTGGTCAGCATGGACAAGTTGCATCAAAGGGTCTGTTTTGATGCTGTACATCTGACTATGTGCATTCTGTCTAGCTTGTAAAGATCCCATCCACCCCAGAAACTGTCTCAATGATCCTAAAATCTGAAGGCCTCCTTGTACACTTTCTTGAGCCACATGTTCATCTGCTCTCCTTTTCCTGTACTCAGTAGGATATGCCACTGGTAGTAATATGGAAAATACAACCTTAGTAGTCCTCCTCTTTCAATCTACCATCTAACGTTAATGTCCTGCAGCAGGAACTTTCTTGAAACTCAAGTTTTTGGTGCCATGACTTCTGTCTGTTCACTTACCCCATCAGACTGGCCTGCAGCCATTCAGACATTCTTGACTCTGGCACCAGGGAGGCAATACATCATGCACAAGTCTTGCTTGCCAGCACAGAAGCAAAGTTCCTCTTACAGTAAAGTCCCTTATTGCTGAAAACCTTTCCTCCCTTGCTGTACAGAGGTGTGCAACTATCGTGCCACAAACCTGGCTGTTGCTGTCTTCCTGAGAAGCTATCCCATTTCAGTATTCAGAATGGTACACCTGTTTAAGTGGTGATAGCCATAGAGAATTCCCACACTTACTGTCTGATGGTCACCAAATGATTTTCTACTTGTGTAGCCCTTGCAACATAACCAGTTGGTCAAACATGCCATTTTCTGCATCATGGATGCTCCATTGTGAATTCACCTGCAGCCAATGGCCTAAAGTCCTGAGGCTAAGCCAAAAGTGATTGCGCCTTGTCCGGCAAACCAAGGATCAAACACTAAGCTCTCATGAGTACAAATGCAACAGCCAAATTTATAACAATTTCTACCATAGGAGAAAAAAAAAGTGTTCTTTTGGTAGCATTCCTACCCCTGGGTTCAAAAGTCCCACTTGCTTCAGGTGTGTAATAACAGATGGATTAGAAATATAGGACAAGTGTCAATTGTCAGGGGATTTGCCAAAGGGAAACTAAATTCACATTTGTCAAGATAACTGCATAGCCCTGCACAAAAACAGCTACAAGTTGCATTATCCCTTAAGCTATGCTGCATTGACAATTAATCCTCAAATGTTCACATGTGTAGGCTACTAAAGTTGTCCCTGGCTGAGCACAATACGAAACAGCCAAATGGTTGAGTGAATTGCTATAGCCAGCTTAGTATTGAAGGTGTACAGTGTACAAGGTATACAGTGAAGGACAGCTTCATATGCTGTACACAAACTATATCCCTGCACTCCAATATTGCAACTTTATAGACAGGTTGTAGGGAGCTGTGTTGTGCACTTACTATGGCATGGTGGCATAAAAACTAATTTTCTGAATCTATGAACATAACTGAATACACTACTGAGCTGACCTGAGCAGGGCATTACTAAAACAAAATTCAATCCAGAAAAGTGAGGTAAATCAATTGGGAGGGCTAGCAAGGCAAACAATTACCTTCTTGCCATTTGTAGTGTAAAGTTTAAAAACATATCAGAAGGACTTTATCATGCATACCCACAGATCCCTGAAGGTAGCAAGGGCACTTAGATGGTTACGTTAGTATGTGGGATACTTTTATTAGCAGAGGCATGGAATACAAGAACAGAGCTGAATTATATTGGTTAGATCACAAGAGTACTGCATCTAGTCACCACAGAACATGATCTGAAGAGACTGACTGCAGAGGGCACAGAGGAAATTCACTAGGATGCTACCTCATCTGGAGGGCCCTAAGCTTTCAAAGGTTGGATAGGCTGGGGTGTTTTCCTCAGCAGTAGTGAAATAAGTTAGTGGATTGGATAGGAAGGCACTTTTTCCTTTTAGTGAAGTGTAGGGCGGTGAGTTTAAAATGGAGGTAGAAGGGTCGTTTGACCAAAGAAATCTTCAATGGTTGGAACCTGGAACTTGCTGCCCAAGTTTGAATAAACCACCCTTTCATAACATGAAAATAATTTAGATATTCATATATTTGCATTGCCTGCAGGGCTATGGGTCAAGAGCTGGAGAAGTTGAATTAGTGTAGCAGATCTTTGCTGACAACAACTGTAGAATAGATCAAATGGCCTCTTGTTCTATAAACCTATGAATCAGGGACGACATGACAGACCAAGCAGCTAACATTTTCCCCTGCCCCACAAGAAGTGCATAGAGTCAGACCCTTCAGTCCAACCCATCCATGACAAACAATCCCAAACTAAACTAGTCCCACCTGCCTGCTCCTGGCCCATATCCCTCCAAACCTTTCCTACTCATGTAATTATCCAAGTGTCTTCAAGATCATTATACCCACATCCAACACTTCCTCAGGAATTTCATTCTACATGCAAACCACCCTCGAAATTTGCCCCTCATTTCTTTAAAATCTCTCCTCACACCTTAATGTGCCCCCTCATCTCAATCCCATGGGGGTGGGGGAAGACATGAATTCTACATATACTCCTATTTATAAAATGAAGTCAAATCAACCTCTTCCACTCCAACCTTTATAACTCAAACCTTCCTTACCTGGCATCAACTTGATAGGTCTCTTCTGCACCCTCTCCAGTTTAATACAAACAATCCTGTAATGGTGACCAGAACTGGACACCATACCACAAGAGGCCATACCAATGTCCTATACAATCTTAAATGAAATAACCACTAGCTTCCTACCCTTTAGCTATTTCAGTTAGTGAAAAATCCACATCTTGCTACAAAATCTTACTAGGCAAAATCTTCAGGTGCATGCACCTGAAGCTTCAACCCACAATTTTCTTCCAGACTGCTCGATTTCAACAAGCTCTTTTCTGGATGGGCAGTTGAAAGAAAACCTAACAAGATGCCCCAGTGAAACAAACAACCAGCTAATGTGCTTTTTGGGTGCCTAGTGATATACATCAGATCAAGTCATGAACAGGTGGCCAGCTGTGATTAAATGTCAATAAAAACCAAAATACTGCAGATGCTGGAAACGTGAAAGACATGTCTGAAATGCACATCAGGCCAAAGAAAGAAAAGGAGTATGAAATAGTTTGGGGAGGGTAGAAGCAAGGAGAGCACAAAGAAACATGGTTCAAGTGTGCAAAGACAATGCACATGTGCAAGTGAACAGAGGGTCAGAATTGGCAGAGGTTGTTGCTCTCTATTGAGCAGTGCCAGTTTCCTGCTATCTCACCATAGACCTGTAGAGGGAAGTCTAATCCTCCTTTGCAATGCCTCAATTCACCAGTTTCAAACTATTTAGGTAGCACATTCCAAACCAAACACTCACTAAGCTTTGATCACTTCCATATCTTTGGCAAGTTACCTGGTATCAGTGCTAGTAGGATGCCTTCCTCCAATGGGAGGAGTTTCTGCCCATCTGGTCTGGCTGGACACCTCATGGAGGGCCTCAAATCAATTCTCAACCCCTTTTCCAAGGAGATCTGACCCAACTTAGTGTTTTTGCTGAAGTCCTTATCCCTGGAACAGTTTTCAATCTTTTCTAAACCCCCTCATGCCTTCACATCCTTCCCAAAATCCAGCTTCTAGAGCTGGACAACATTCCAGGAGAGGCTGAAGCAGCATCTCATACAAGTTCGGCACTACCCCCTTGCTCTTCTACTCCGCAGCCCTACTAGAACAAATCTAGGTTACTAGATGCTTTGTTCAACTTTCCTTCCACCTTCAGAAAGAACAATTACACCCAGGTCTGTGCTCCTGCACCACAGTTGTAAATTTTCTCTCATCTCCCTACCAAACAAAATTGCGTTGCTCCTCTGCATTGAGCTTATCGGCTACACACTGCACCAGCTTGTCTATGCTCTCCTGAAGTCCTACACTGCCTTCAGTTCACAATGCTGGGGAGTTTCAGAATGATGCCCTGCACAGTGAGAGACACCTCAGCAGCAGCTGGCTCTTGTGCCACAGGAGCCTGGGCAAGAGCTCTTTCCCTGCGGCGGAAGAACGAACGACGGAAACGCTGGCGTGCAGGCTGTGGCTGGTCAGTCGTGGGCTCCTTGTTCTCATCCAGGTCACCTGACACCTCCTGAGGTGGTGGGCGTGGACGGAAAGGTCGCCTGCAGGAGAAAGTCAGTTACCACTCAAGGACAACTGTTCACTGACAGCTTTAACATCACCCACTTCCCAATACCAAGTTCCACTCACTCAACTGAGTTAAGTTAGATTAAACTTGGGGGTTTCTCCATCTCCTCCAGCCCCTATATCCATTCTTACCCCTGCTCACCCCCTACCCCACTCCATATTGGGCCTCCTCCAGACTCCCCATCTCAGGATTTCTGAAGTCTTCCATTCTGCCTCTTGAACATCAACATTACCATCACCTTGCCTTTGACAGCTCCCTGGGCATGGCAATGGTTATATTGCCCTGTTAAGCAGTGAAATGCTTTAGGTATTTCCCTAGAGATTTAAAATCAGTGACATTAAGCCTCAAGAGGTGATAATCATGACACCCTCAATCAAATGGTGTCCTAGTGACAGATTTACTGCAGGTTTACATGGGTGGACAGTGCTCATTAGAAATTTCACAAGCTCAGTAACCAGGAACCCAGGTTAATGCTGTGGGGCAGGAGATCAAACAATTAAACTGGACTAGCTTTTTAAATTCACATTTAGTGACAGCTACTGTTGAGTGTAGTAAAGAACATTAGTGACAGCTGGGATCAGAATATGCCATCTTTACCTGGCCTGTATGTGGTTACACAGACCCACCATCATTCTAAACCACCTTGTGAAATAATAGAACATTTTATGCTCAAGAGCAACTAGGGATGGCCAAGAAAAGTGTCCTCCATGATGCCCACAACCCATGAAGGGATAAATAAATAGAAACACTGGTTTAGGGAGAATTAGTCAAGTGCTGATTATAAACTGCCTCATTCTAAAAAAATTCTAACTGATTAAGACAATATAGAGGAGGAAATGGCCCAGTGGTATTATTACTAGACTATTAACCCAGAGACCCTGGTGACATTCTAGGACATAGGAATCTTGCCAATGGCAGCATTTTGATTTAATCAGGAATTAGCAGCCTGACAATGGCTTAGTGGTTGTCAATTGTCAGGAAAGTCCCCTGTACACTAATGTTCTTTAGGGAAGGAAACGGCCATCCTTCAGCAAGAGGATGGAACTGCAGACGTTGCAGTCAGTGTCAATACAGTCTGGAGCCCAAGGAACACAACAGGAAAGTCAACATTTTGGGTTTACAAGAACAAAGTTGCTGGCAAAGCTCAGGTCTGGCAGCATCTGTGGAGGCGAAAACAATTAACATTTCAGGTCTGGTGACCCTTCCTCCGAACTGGACCTGAAACGTTAACTGTTTTCTCCTCCACAGATGCTGCCAGACCTGCTGAGCTTTTCCAGCAACTTTGTTTTTGTTCCTGATTTACAGCATCCGCAGTTTTTGGTTTACACCCTTCAGGACTGTTCCTCCAGCTCCAGACTGTATTGAAACTTCCATCCTCACCTTGCCTTGTTTACATGTGACTCCAGGCCCACAGAGATTCAACTACCCTGAGCAATTAGGGATGGGCAATAAGTGCTGGCATGGCCTGCAACATCCACATCCCACTAATGATTAAAACAAAATTTGCAGTAACCAGAGTGTCAATACATGTTCTGATAACAGGAACATTGCCAGTTTGCATGTTCAGCTGAAGGCTTGATAGCTGAAGCCCACAGGTGAGTAGGGTCACTGCTCCAGCACATTACCTGCGGAATTGGGATCGGGGTCTATTTCTGGGTGTCCTTTGTTGACCTTGCTGTTGAGATTGGACCCGACCAGAATCTGACACTGGCTCTTGGTTAGCAGAAACTCCATCACCCTGAAAAAAGGAAAGCAGTTGTCACTTGACACTGTAGAAGCAGCCACAGTTAATCAGAAACCAAATGATGGAACATCAACCACAGTTTTGTCTATGAACCATAAGTCAAACTGATTTACTTACATTCCATCAGCTTCAAATGGGATGGCTGAATTCGCCATTGGTATCCAACTAGACAGAAATGGAAGTTGGATGACTATAACAGAAATACCATGGGAGATTTGCAATTGGGGGAAAAAAACTCAAGTGGTACATATTGTTCAGCTGCAAACTGGTGTTGCTTTTTGGAAACCGTAAGACAGAATTCAAGGCTGAACAACCTTGCAAGTTAGGATATTCTGCCTGACAGCAAACCTCCAGTTGGTTGAGCCACGCTGTTCTGCACACAGCAGTACAAGAACCATCCAGAGCCTGCAGACAAAGCATTCATCTCCTTTTGTGTAGAAGGCAAAAACAAAGTATGCTTGAAAGGCAGACAAGACCAAAGTTCACTTGATCAACCACTAAAATCAAAATGGCCATCACCATACAGACAACTCATTGCAAAAAACCCAAAAACTGAAGACAATTGTTACCTTGTGATATAGACCTCTGAATTTTTGTTTACCTTGCATATATTTTGCTTCCAAAATAGTGTTAAACAGTTCATACTTCGTATCCTTAGCAGAGTTGGAATGCACGAGGTTTTGAAGGGGTATAATTTGCCATAGTATGAGTCCTGCAGCACAGACAGGCCCTTTGGCCCAATCTGGTCCATGCCAAACAGGATGTCCATCCATTCTAACCCCATTTCTCTGCACTTGGCACATATCCTCCTAAACCTTTGGACAATACATGGATAGCAAATGCCTTTTAATTGTTAAAGGACCCATCTTCACTTCCACTGGCAGCTCATTCCATATGCATACCACCCTCTGTATGCAAAGTTACCCCTCAGGTTCCCATGTATTCTTTCCCCTCTTACCTTAAACTGATGTCCTCTAGTCCTCAATTCCCCAGCCCTGGGAAAAAGTCTGTGCACTCACCCCATTCATGCCTCATGATCTTATACATACTAAGATAGCCCCTCTGTCTCCGACACTAAAGAAAAATATCCTAGCTCATCCAACTTGTCTATCAATACCTTGGAAACTTTCTTCACTGCCTGTTAAGATACTGTATTACACAATAAATAGAATTTATTGATGAAACTTAGTGAAATACCTTTTGTCCTGAGTCTGACAATTGGTCATTCAGGTGGCCTCACTGGAATTTTGTGACAGCTTGTGGAACAGTAGGGCATAATTTGCACACTTCCCAGTTGCAGAGACCATTCTGTGCCACTTCACTTCAGCGCAATGGCAAAGAAACCTTTAACCCCTCTTTCCCAATACCCCAGTCATCATAGAATCCCTACAGTGCAGAAGCAGGCCATTTGGTCTCCACTGACTCTCCAAAGAGCATTCCACCCAGACCTGCCCCATTACCGAGCCACTGAGCCTGCATATTTCTGGACACTATGGACAATTTTAGCATGACTAATCCACCTAACCCACACATCTTTGGACTGTGGGAGGAAACCCACACGCAGACAGGGAGAATGTGCTAACTGCAGACACTTGTCCAAGACTGGAATTGAAACTAGGTCCCCAGCACTGAGAGGCAGCAGTGCTAACCACTGAGCTCCTGTTCTATGCCCTATTGTCAGACCAAGTGTCAGATCTGTTGGTAGGAGATCATTTTGGCAGTAGCAATCCTAACTGTTACTTTCACAATAGTCATGGAAAAGGATAGGTACATACAGCAGGGTAAGGTTTATAATTGAGGAAGAGTAATTTAATTCTGTTAGGCAAGAACTGGATAACAAAAATGGGAACAGATACTGTCAGGGAAGAACACTATAGAAATGTGGAGATTTTTTAAGGAATGCATACTGAAAGCTGCCACCCAGGTGGCTAGAGTTGTTAAGAAGGCACACGGCATGTTAGCTTTCATGAATAGACGGATTGAGTTCCAGAGCTGTGAAGTTATGCTCCAGCTATACAAAAACCCTGGTTCAGCCACATCTGGAGTATTGTCCAACCTCATTACAGGAAAGATGTGGAAGCGTTGGAAAAAGGTGCAGAGGAGATTTACCAGGATGTTGCCTGGAATGGAGGGAAGGTCTTATGAGGAAAGGTTGAGTGCGCTAGGGCTTTTCTCTTTAGAAAAAAGCATGAGAGGTACACCTCTATCAAGTCATGAGATGATCAGAGGTGCAGATAGAGGAGACAGCCAGAGACTTTTTCCCTAGGGTGAAGGTAGCTATTACGAGGGGGCATAATATTAAAAAAAGTGAGTGGAGGTAGATATAGGGGAGACATCAGGAGTAGGTTCTTTACTCAGTGGTAAGGGTGTGGAAGGCATTGCTGGAGAGGGTAATGGAGTCAGCCTCATTAGGGGCATTTTAGCAGCTATTAGACAGGCACATGGATGATAGCATAAGGTAGGGTGGAGGTTAGATAGACCTTAGGTTTAGGGTAAAAGTTCAGCACAACATCGTGGGCCAAAGGGCCCATACAGTACTGTGCTATGTTCTATTGCTAGTTTCTAGCACCAGGGGCCATTCAAAGCAGAAAACCGCAGTGGAGCAGGAACATCCCAGTAGATTACAGAAGCTCTATCCTTAGCATATTGGGATTCTAAGGCCAATTGTAAACGACTAAAAAAGCCAGCATTACTTCTGCCTCTTCCCACACCGTAATCCTTACTGGAGAAGTGGCGATGTGTGAGCTGGACTGTGTTGGGGTCAGGCTTGAACTGAACAGCAGGCCCAACCTTGCCCTTAATGGAAGAATTTTTGAAAGAGTGAACATTTAGGAACTAAAAAAGGAACAATCACTCACTCCAACTGGCTGCCCCTCTCCATCTTGGGGAGAGGTCTGGGCTCTAGGTCGCCGCCGAAACCGATTTCGGTTGAAATAGGGAAGTGGGGGTCGCCGACGCTGTTCGAGGGGCTGTTGCTGCCCATTAACAGTTTCCATTGAGCCCTCCTCCTTCTCAGCTGAAGGTTCTGTTGGCTCACCTGTCACTGTTTGGCCACCCTGTGCAGAAAGATAATAAACGATCAAAGGGAGGGAAGAAAAAAACAAACAAACAGTAGAAAACTCCCTTTGCCTGTCCTCCCAGGACGGGTACAGCTTGGGGTCCAGATAGTTCCAGTCAGATTGAGTTAGTAAATGCAAAAACCAGGTTAAAGGGGGACAGGCTTTCATTCTGGTCAGGACTTCAACATTATCTTGCTTCGGAGTTGCCAACTTTTGCCCACAAATCCCAGAAGTGCTGCATGCTGAAACTATCACAGCTACCCACAACCTGGCCACAAGTACAGCTCAACAGGACAGCTGCCAGTCTTGAATATTAAGCATTCTCATCCACTTGAAGGGGAGATATCCTTGCAAAAAGGTGCATTGTCATGTCAGCAGTGATAATACTTGCAGAATTTAGCCAGAGCAGCTCTAACAGTCTGGAAAGTATGTGAATAGGAAAAGGTTTGGAGGAATACAGGCCAGGAGCAGGCAGGTGGGACTAACTTAGTTTGATATTATGCTTGGCATGGACTGGTTGGACCAAAAGAGTCTGTTTCTGTGCTGTGTGACTAAGCTATAACTGAGCAGCCTGGGCATCTTCTTGAAAGGACAGAGATTGGACCTGACCAGAGTGACACTGGCTGTTGGTTCATGGAGACCTTAATCACACTGAAAAAGGAAGTAATTTTGTTACTTGAGTCTACAGAAGGTGACCAGAGTTGATCAGATTCCATCCTATGGATGTAAAGCACATTTTTGTCTGTCCATCTTCCACCAGTGGCCTACATACCAAACATCTGTTGGGTGATCTGATATGGTAGACAGAAGTAGGAAGTTTGCAGTTGTTGGGCCAGAACTCAGATAGTCCCAACAAATCCTATTGGGAATTCCAGAAGTGTCTACACAGAATGAAGGGAATGTGGAACAGGAAGTGGGAGAGGGGAGTAGTAATGATACACAGGGAAAATTGAATAAACACTAGGGCAAAATTGAATGTGTTCATATAGAATCCCTACAGTGTGGAAACAGGCCCTTTGGCCCAACAAGTCCACAGCGACCCTCAGAGCATCCCACCCAGACCCATTCCCCTTTTACCCACTAATCTACACATCATGAACACTATGGGCAATTTAGCACAGCCAATCCACCTAGCCTGCACATCTTTGGACTGTGGGAGGAAACTGAAGCACCCAGAGGAAACCCACACAGACACGGAGAATGTGCAAACTCCACACAGACAGTCACCAGAGTGTGGAATTGAACCTGGGTCCCTGGCACTGAGGCAACAGTGCTAAACACTGAGCCACTGTGCTGCCCTAATATGCTGACAGGGTGAGAAGGAGCAGGTAGGAGGTAGCTTTTGCTCAGCAGAAACTGGTGCTGAAATGGGATAAATAGCCTGCTTACTAGAAATTCTATGCACCAGCTAAACTCTCACTACCAGCATTCTGGTGTTACAGCCTAGACTAAAGTGACTACCCCAGACAAGGGGGTTATTGTAGCCACTCCAAATCTAGTTGGACATAGAAACAGAACTGATCATGGAGCACAAACCACACCATTTAGCCCATTGTGCCCTGGGCCACCTTTATGCAGGCTTCACCTCATCTGTGCCCCTTTGCCACCTACTGTTGGGCACTGATGAGCATTACCATGCATTATTCTGACAATGGACCATTGGCAATTGTATCACTTGTGCACCCAGATTAATTCCTGGGTGGGAAGACCTTTGGCAAAGCTGCCACACATTGCCCATTACCAGGCAATGGCAGTGGGTGTGTAGCACAAAGGGTTGTAACCGCAAATATGGAAGAAGTTACAGATCTGTCACGATAAGAGGCCAAATGGCCTATTTGAAAGTCTCTGGTCACTTGCCTGATCCACACGAGCCTGACGTCTCATAAAGCCTCTGCGGAACCGACGACGGTTTGGGGCATAAGGACTGCCTTTGACTGGAACACCTCCTGGGCCAGTCACATTTGCAGCCTCAACAGTCTACATAGCACAAAGCAAGAGGAGAGAGGAAGTGGAAGTCAGGTAATATCCATTACATATGGGAGTCATAGAATCACAGTACTGTTATACTACAGGGGGTCATTCAGTCCATTATTGCTGTTACAGCTCTCTGCAAGAGCAACCTCCTCCTCTGACCTGCACATTCTTCCCTCAATTGGCCAATCTTCTCAAAATCCTTAATTGAGAACTTAGTACCTTCCCAATCCTAACCACTCAAGTGAAAAGAGTTTTCTAATCTTGTGTAATCCTCAACTTCCTTTGTCAGTTATTTGACTGACCTAGAACTTTTGCACCTCAGGGAATTAATGTTTTGGTGCTTGAGAAGGTCCATTGCTTATGCCTTTCAATGAGTTTACCCAAACCTGCTCAGTCAACTAATGCCTCCTGTCTGCCATTTCTTTTCCAAAGGAAATTTAAGGCCCTACCAGATGCAAATGCACCAGGTTAAATCAAAAGGGAAAACAGAGCGAATTTAAGCTTAAGGAATTTAGAGACTAAGAGCTTCTACAAACATGCATAAACAATAGCAGGAGTAGCCTTTCAAGCCTGCTAAACCACTCTTAAGTATCATGGTTGATCATTCAGCTCAGTACCCTGTTCCTGCTTTATCCCATACCCTTTGATCATTTAGCCCTAATAACTATATAGGACTCCTTGAAACTCCTATTTTGGCCTCTTCCACTTTCAGTGGAAGAGAATTTCACAGGCATGCCACTGGGTGAGAAATTCCCCCTGACCAGTCTAAACTGCCTACCCTGTTATCCTTAGCCAGATCACTAGCTCTGGATTCCACACATTGGGAAATATCCATTTACTCGAGTCCTGTTAGACAGACATTTGAGAATAGAGGGGGTTCCTCAAACAGTGAATATAGTTCTAAGCAATCCAGTCTCCTCATACTGTAGTCCTGCCATCCCAGGCATCATTCTGCTAATATCTTTTGTCACAAGGATATGACCTATACAATAGTCTAGGTGTGGTTGCACCAAGGCATTTCTACTCCTGTACTAATCTTCTCCCTATCAAGGCCAACATACTAGTTTCCTTGTTTACCACTTGCTTACTTTGAGCAACTAGTATACAAGGCCTAGTTGTACCTGCCCCTTTCCTAATCTATCATCTTTCAGCTAATTTACTTTCTGTTGGCACTTCCAAAGTGGAAAACCTCATTTATCCACTTTCTCTGCCAAAGAATCTAAAGCAAACTTGCTTGGAACACAGTAAATGGAAACATCTCTTCACATACCTACAGAAAATATAGGCCCCTTACAGGCAGAGGAAGTTTATAATAAAAGGAACAAAGATGGCAAACCAATTAACCCAGTGATAAGTTTGTCTTAATTGACAAGAACAAATCTTTAACATGAATCAACCCCAATTCTTTTGGTGGAAAATATACCTGTATTGTGAAACAAAAACAGAAAGGAAGGTCTTTGGGAAAAAATAACTGAAGGCAGGAATTCAAAAACATGGAGAAATTAATGGCACCAATTCTGAAATCCCTAGATCCTTAATCTACATTCCAGGATGCTAAAGGAGGTGGCCATAGAAATAATGGAAGCATTTGTCATCCTCTTCCAAAATGGATGCTTGGAACAGCACAGCAGATAAGGATGAGAAGCATAATTCAGGCTTAATAGCAAACCAGGAATTACAGACCAGTTGGCCTAGTCATACAGAAAAACGGTGATGTCCTGTTATCACATCATTACGACTGATCAAATACCAATGATATTCCATAAAGTCAACATCTATTTAAAAAGGGACATGTTTGACAAATCTGGAGTTTATGTAATAGTAGATGGAAGCCAGTGGATGCAGTAGATTTATATTCTCAGAAAGCTTTGAGGTCCTAGACAGATTGCACAAAACCAAATAATGTGTTGGAGGCGTGGATTGAGAATTAGTGGGAAACACATTGTAGATACAGTATGACATGGATAATAGTGAAGTTGAAAACAGATTGAGAATTAAGTGGTAATAGATTGGGAAATAGTTGAGACATGGATCTACTTCTACACTAGTCATTGAAAGAAAGCAAGCAGATAGAGCATGCAGTCAGGAAGACAACAGGCCTTGAATACAGACCTTGGTGAGACCACACCTGGAGTATTGTGTACTTTGTCCCGTGACCCAGGAAAGCATGCTCTCCTTTTCTATGGAAAGTAGCAAAGGCTCAGAAGACTGATTCTTAGTGACATCTTTGTTGTCCGGGCCTCTAAACTGGAGCTAGAGAAAGATTCATTGAAACAACAGACAGGCTGGAAGCAGAAATATTTGCCTTGGCCAGAGGGTTCCGAACAAGAGATCACCTTCTCTGGATACAGGGCATTACCTCAGGCAGAACAGGAATGCTTTTCCTACTCAATTTCACAGGGTCCATCACCTATCAAAGGTGTGGAGGTAAAGCAAGTTCAATATAATTGACTTCATTGGTCAGTGCTAGTAGGAACTGCAGATGCTGGAGAATCCGAGACAACAAGGTGCAGGGCTGGATGAACACAGCAGGCCAAGCAGCATCATAGGAGCAGAGAGGCTGACGTTTCAGGCCCAGACCCTTCATCAGAAAAGGGGGAGGGGAAGGGGGTTTTGAAATAAATAGGGAGAGAGTGGGAGGCAGATAGAAGAGGGATAGAGGAGAGGAAACAAACAGGTCGAAGAGGCGGGGATGGGGCCAGGAAAGGTGAGTGTAGGTAGGGAGTTAGGAAGGGGATAGGTCAGTCCAGGGAGGACAGACAGGTCAAGGGGGCGGGATGAGGTTGGTCGGTAGGAGATGGAGGTGCGGCTTGAGGTGGGAGGAGGGGATAGGTGGGAGGAAGAACAGG